ATTTGCATGAGTTGTTGGATTGTATGTAGGGAGTGGTTTATTACCATATTCATCTATAGATATACTCTTCCCCTTTTTAGGCTGTTTTCTGGGTGGGCCACTACAGGAGTTGTCTATCAGGCAATTCAGTTCTTGATGAAGGTACTACTCCAAAATTTAATGCAGTTGATGTGGTTATGTCAGTAGCAGCAGAGAAAGGGCCCCCAGTGCTACCTCCTGTACTGAGATCTGAACCCCCTTCCTCTGCCACTTGAAGGACCTCCATGCAGATAAAATCAGATCCTTGACGATGCCACAGAGAAGAACTTCAGGATAAGCTGAGTTACCAGGATTATTAGGTAGAGATATAGTGTAGGCTTCAGATTTAAGCAGGAAAGCAGACCCTCAACAAAAGGACAACAGTATGTAGCCAAGATATGGATGAAAGCTTGTCAACAGTCACCTAATAAAAGGCCAGTACAGACCCAAGACATGATTGTGAGCTTCTCAATATAAAGTTGCAGTCAGGTGTCTTCTTAATCCCCATGTATAGACTTGGGGACTTCAGCAAAGTTTAAAAAGCAAGTTAAAAAATGCTAGAGATTTTACTTATTTATTTTATCTTAAAGAATTTCCTTTAACAAGTGAAATTGTGGTGGTTTCATCAGGTGAACTATTTAAATTCAAAAATGAGAGAAGAGAGTTAATATAGTTAAATTCAAGATCATAAACATTCTGGCCCCAAGTAAGCATAGTTAATTTTGTTTTTAATAACCTTGTTTGTGATAACTTTAAGAAATGAGCCTTATCTCCTGTGGCAATTTTGATTTTAATCAATTGTGTTTCAGTTTTTGCCTTCCAGCCAAGAGGAAATACAAATTAGTTTCTGGGATGAAGGGCTCTTTCCCTTCACATACCCCTTTAGTTTCTCCTTTCTTCCTATCCTGCCTCAGTTGGTAACAGAAAAAAAAGTTTAAGTTGATAATAATCTTAGATTTTGGAGCTCTTCATATTTTCCATCTTGTGTTTGAATAAGTCTGAAAACAGTAGCACCTGTAGTCTTGGTTCTGGTTTTACAGCTTCATCATCATCTAGCACTTTCAGAAGCATTAGATTAATAATTTCCTTGAATGTGGCATGGGTATTGCAGGAAGTGGAGACTGCTCTAGAATGAAAATACATTGTCTGTTTTAACCTCAAACTTATACCCACTGTAGTTCTGTAATTTATTGAGGAGTGGTGCATACTGATGTTGAAAATTAAATTTCTGTTTTTGTTTTTGAGACAGGATCTCACTGTGGCTCTGACTGGCCTGGAATTGACCAGGCTGACCTGGAAGTCAGAGATCCATTTGCCTGTGCTTCTCAGGTGCTGGAATTAAAAGCATGCACCACCACACCTCAATTGATGAAGTTCTTTAAGTGACTTTTAATTCCAATCTCTCTGGTCCTCTGTATCCTCTGTACATCTTTGTGTCTAGGACTCCATGACAAATCTGTGGGTTCACTTTTAGTTCCCAGATAAGGAAACAGGCACAAAGCAGTTAAGACAACCAAATGAAAACATTAGGCCTTATATTTGAGGCCTAGCTGACTTGTACAAGTCAGTGTAACATGGAAAGTTAGAACCTGGGGCTGTAGCTCATTTGGTAGAGTGCTCACTGAACATGCATTAAGCCTTGAGTTCAGTCCTCAGTATTGTAAAAACCCAGCATGGTGGCAAAAAGCCTGTAATCCTAGCGTGCTGGGCATGGTGGCAAGAGATCAGAAGTTCAGTGTCATCCTTGTCTACACAGCAAGATCAAGGCCAAACAAAGAAATATGGAGAGTCAGGGACTTATAAGTTTTGTCCTTATAGGGCCTAAAGAAACAAAATCTATTCCTGGTCTCTCAGAATATGCTTCCAAGAGGAGTTGTCACCACTGCAGGTGTTATTTTTGTGCATAAAATGCTTCTGGAAATAGGAAACTGCATCAGAACTGTTCAATCAAGGAAGAGTCTTACCCTCATCTAGGTCTATATCTCCAAATCATGCCTACTTTACCTCATATCTTTCTATACCTAGATTGGTTCTAATAAAATGTGGCCAGGGTTTCTGATATTAACAGAAAGAAAAATCTATCTAGAACCCTTGGAAATGGAGACATAAACATTCCAGTCTTTTCTGTACAAAAATATTGGGACATATGCTGAGAAAAACAGTATAAATCATCCAACAATATGTTATCAACATTGCATTCAGTAGTGGCTCAATATGCTCCTGTTCTCTTTTTATTCCTCCTGACCCCATTATTCCTTAAACTTGGATGAAACTTCAAACTCTGCTGTAGCCCCATTTTTCCTAGGTGGAAGTTGAAGGAAGGGGAGACTCTGAAAACCATGCAGCTTTATACTATCCAGTCTAAACTCCTTTTGCTTAAATGGAATTATTTTTTATCTCCAATTCCCCATGAAAGATGACCTTATGAAGATTTTGAGGGAAGATAATCACAAGAAGAAAAACTGATGAATGGGGAAATGAGGGAGGTGTCTGATTTGAGAATACAGAGAATAAAGAAAGTTTATACAGAAAAACCTGTTTTCTGTAATCATAGTGATGATTGTAGTTCTACATGTGTAGATAGGACATGTCACCTGCATAATTATTTTATTTTATAATGTCATCACCCTGTGCTATCTTTTTTTTGTTGTTGTTCTGGTTTTATTTTGTTTTGTTATCTTTTGACTGGGTCTCCCTAGTCCCAGCCTGCCTGGAAGTTACTCCTTGGATCAGGCTGGCCTCAATCTCACAAAGATCCACCTGCCTCTGCCTCCCAAGGGGTAGGATTAAAGGTGTACACCACCACGTCTGGTGTCTCTGTTATGTTTTATAATCTATTTTTAATTTATTATTTCATAATTTCACACATACATACATACCTACATACAACAAATTTTTATCGTATTCACCCCCGCCCATATGTGTATGGGTATGAGGACATCTACTGGAGCATGGTCCATGTACCAGGGGCCACACCCTTAAAGAAAATTGATGCTACCTCCTGTAGCAGCGATCAACTGTCAATAGTTCCTCAGCTAGGGTTGGTGGCTCATTTTCCCTTACCCCATTGATGCTGGACTGTTGTCTGGCTTAATCGTGTTCAAGCAACCACAGGTGCGTATGATTTCATGAGTACAATGGTCCTGTTACGTCCAGAAGACATTGTTTTGTCCCAGTCTTCCTCAACTTCTGGCTCTTACACACTTTCTGCTCCCTTCCTCTTTTTCTTTTTTATTATTTTATTTATTAACTTTACTTTTGTATATGAGTTTATTGCCTGCATGTGTATAAGTGCACCCATGTCATGGAATGCCATGGAAATTGGAAGAGGGCATCAAATCCTCTGGAACTGGAGTTAGGATGGTTGTTAGCTGCCATGTAGGTGCTGAGAGTTGAAATCGGGTCCTCTGCAAGAGAAACCAGTGCTCTTAACTGCTGAAACATATCTCCAGCCCCAAGCATTCACTTTCATTTCAATCTTTCTAAATACAAAATGAAAAAAAGCCCAAGTGATCTAATATCTATATTCACTATAGACATGGCGACTCTCCTAAATTTGTAAAACTGACATTATAATAGATGATATGCGGGTGCACATAATATGTGAACCCATGTAGTAAAATACTGTGGTACTTCAGAGGCAGGGTGATTAAGGGAATAAAAGATCCAAAAATTCTCTTCAGTTGTGTGGGTGGTAATAAAAACAAGGTTGAGGAACACTGCTCTAACCCATGGCTCAATGGTCAGGTAAGAGCATGGAGTATCCATTTCAGAAGCTGGCCTCTCTCCTATGGGGATCTTTTTTCCTAAATTTTTTGTTTGTTTGTTTGAGGTTTCTATTTATGTATTTTTATAGCACTAGAAACCAAAAGTTTTCTTTCTTTTTTTTATTTTGAAAATCCTAACTAGTTTATTGGGCTTGGTAATTTTATATACAGAAGAGTGGGCACCCCCCCATTCGTGGCTGCACTGGAAAGTCCACACTCAAATATAATGACATCTTGTACCAGCAAATTGTTTTATGCCCCATCTTTGTCACTCAGGATTTATCACCTTTTCTGATGGTGATATTCTATTGTTTAGATCCTTATGGACTGTTCACCTCAGAAGTTCTGCTTGACTCCAGCTTACAAGCCATAGTTTATTGTTACTACTACTAACTGGGGAGAGGTCCAGCATCGTGTTGATTCTTAGAGCAAACCCAGTACCCACAGTGAGTAGGCTTTTAGGTCCTCAGAATGAAGAAAAAAATAAAATAAAATCTGTGGCCTGTGATTCCAAGGTGTTCTCTTGGAGAAGTACTGGTAAGTAAGGTAGGTGTACACATATAACCAGAATACAGTTGGTTGGAAAAACATAAGTGGCCTGACTCCACAGAATACTCTGCCAGTCACTGTCTAGGTACCTGCACATGAAATGACTAGCAAGAATCATTGGGGCATGACTTTCCTAGGAAATTCTGTAAGCAGCCAGGGAATTTAACATGAAAATATATTTGTAATTTCATCTTTAAATTGTAGCAGAACTTAGCAGCCGATAGGCACCAGTTGGAACGGGGAACACTAAAAACTTTTGGATTTTAAATTAGTAAGTGATCTTAAGTCACACTATCTTCATGTATGTCAGGAGTCCCTGTGTAAGCACTACTTATTTCTCCCTTAGGTTACTGGTTTCTGAGCAATTAACTCCCATTCTGTCTCCCATTTATTTAATAGTAACTTTCATTTTACTTGAAATTTCCAGTAGAATTTTTTAAAGTCAGGTGTGTCTAATGTTTAATCACTGGACTATAGTTAAATCATTCTCCCATGTTCTGTGAACTAGAGTAAATAGAAAATTTCACCTAAAAATTGTACTTTTGGTCTTAGTCTCTGGCAGAGAACTAAAGTAAGCCTACGGATGGCAGTGAGGGGTCAATTCACCACAGGCATTGGGTCGGGGGTGGAGGAGTCGGAAGTGATTGGGGTTTGGGGGAGGAGATCCGCTCACACTGGAGAGCAGAGAATTGAGCGGCCATATCTGCAGCTGCTGCCGCAGTTGTGAATGCAGCATCTGTGCTTAACTGCCTCTGTGTCGCTAAGGTTCGCGACGCTATCCTGTGGCCCTTCGCTGTTTCTGCCTTACTCTCGCTGGAGGAACCCGCTTAGACTCTCCTGCCTGCCACGCTCCTTCCACGCCACACACCAGCTCCTCTGACTATGGATCCCAGCGGCAGCGGCAGCAGCAGCAGCGATTCGGCTCCCGACTGCTGGGATCAGGTGGACATGGAAGCCCTGGGTTCGGCCCCATTCGGGGATGGACTCTGTTCTGCAGTGGCCGAGGCCCAGAGCAAGCATCTCAGCACTGCCTTCAGAAGTCAGCTCAACATCAACGCAAAACCCTTCGTACCTAACGTAAATTCCACGCCATCCTTCCTGCCCGCCTCGGCCCTGCTGTCCGCGCCCCCAACCAGCAACTCCAACGATGACGAAACCTGCACCGGCGCGGGAGACCCTCAAGGTAAAAGGCTGGGATGGGGGGCACCTGTGGAACCTTCCAAAGATGGACCTATAGTGCCTTGTGAAGGTTCCAGTTCAGCTGTTGCCATGGAACTTTCAGAACCTGTTGTAGAAAACGGAGAGGTGGATATGGTCCTGGAAGAATCATGGGAACGTAAAGAAGTAAGTGAATCAGAGCCTGGGGGTTCTTTGGGAGATTCAGGGCCCCCAGAAGAAAGTGGAAAGGAAATGATGGAGGAGAAAGAGGAAATAAGGAAATCAAAATCTATGGTCATACCCTCAGGTGCTCCTAAGAAAGAACATGTAAATGTGGTGTTCATTGGGCATGTAGATGCCGGCAAGTCAACCATTGGAGGGCAAATAATGTTTTTGACTGGGATGGTTGACAAAAGGACACTTGAGAAGTATGAAAGAGAAGCTAAGGAGAAAAATAGAGAAACTTGGTATTTGTCCTGGGCCTTAGATACAAACCAGGAAGAACGAGACAAGGGTAAAACAGTAGAAGTGGGTCGTGCCTATTTTGAAACAGAAAAGAAACATTTCACTATTTTAGATGCCCCTGGCCACAAGAGTTTTGTTCCAAATATGATTGGTGGTGCTTCTCAAGCTGATTTGGCTGTGCTGGTAATCTCTGCCAGGAAAGGAGAATTTGAAACTGGATTTGAGAAAGGTGGACAGACAAGAGAACATGCGATGTTGGCAAAAACAGCAGGGGTTAAATATTTAATAGTGCTTATTAATAAAATGGATGATCCCACAGTCAATTGGAGCAGTGAGCGATATGAAGAATGTAAGGAAAAACTGGTGCCCTTTTTGAAAAAAGTTGGCTTCAGTCCAAAAAAGGACATCCACTTTATGCCCTGCTCAGGATTGACTGGAGCAAATATTAAAGAGCAGTCAGATTTCTGTCCTTGGTACACTGGATTACCATTTATTCCTTATTTGGATAATTTGCCAAACTTCAACAGATCCATTGATGGACCAATTAGGTTGCCAATTGTGGATAAGTACAAGGATATGGGCACTGTGGTCCTGGGAAAGCTGGAATCAGGATCCATTTTTAAAGGCCAGCAGCTTGTGATGATGCCAAACAAACACAATGTGGAAGTTCTAGGAATACTTTCTGATGATGCTGAAACTGATTTTGTAGCCCCAGGTGAAAACCTCAAAATCAGACTGAAAGGAATTGAAGAAGAAGAGATCCTTCCAGGCTTCATACTTTGTGACCCTAGTAATCTTTGCCATTCTGGACGTACATTTGATGTTCAGATAGTGATTATTGAGCACAAATCCATCATCTGCCCAGGTTATAATGCGGTGCTTCACATTCATACTTGTATAGAGGAAGTTGAGATAACAGCCTTAATCTCCTTGGTAGACAAAAAATCAGGAGAAAAAAGTAAGACACGGCCCCGCTTCGTGAAACAAGATCAAGTCTGTATTGCCCGGTTAAGGTCAGCAGGAACTATCTGCCTGGAGACTTTTAAAGATTTTCCTCAGATGGGTCGTTTTACTTTAAGAGATGAGGGTAAGACAATTGCAGTTGGAAAAGTTCTGAAACTGGTCCCAGAAAAGGACTAAGCAATTTCACTGATGCCACTGTACCACACTGTGCAGGGAAATGACTGCAGTTTACTGCCCGTTCATAGACTTTTGTCCATATTTTGCAAAGAGAAATTTCACCGCCAAAATCCATGTTTTGTCAGCTTTCTTATGTTGAGAGCTCAGTAGTGTCACTGTTAAATTCATTCTCCAGTTTCTTCCCTCTGTACCACTCTGCTTTCTTGGAAAGATCAGTAATAGCTTTGTAAGTGATGTGTATGTCTATAATAATGAAAAATAATATATTTTTAATTTTTCATTTTCCTTTAGCATATCTAAACATCCTTTGTTCTGTGCAGATCAATCAGAGTGTGCCAGTGTGTATATGTTAATGGAGACAACTAATATGTGAATAAAATATTCCATTTGAAATGCTTCAGTATTTGAAATGTGTTTGAATGTTTAAATTTGTATGTAATACTATTGCGCTTGGTTATTCCTCTGAGTAACTAAATGCATTCAGTACACGGACTTTAAAAAGTCTCCATTCACTGTTTTAAATGAGGAATTTACCAAAACCACAGAGGACTGTACTGAAGGAAATCTTTAACTCTGAAAAAAATGTTATCTTAGTGCTCTGCCCAGTTGATGTGTTTTCTGTGTTCAAGTCCAATCAGAAAAGGAGCTCTTCTTGTTCACTTGTGATTTGAAAATGAAAGGCCCAGATTATCTTATATGTCTTTCATCAGGACCCATAGTGTTCAGTATGTTCAAATTACATATACATTTGATGTTTCAGACCATTTATATTGACTAGCCTCTTTTGTGTACTCCATCGTCTTTAACATGCTTTGATATTATTCACTATGAAACTTGAGGTGCAAGATACAACAAAACAATGGGTATAATTATTGAAAAGGTAAATTCTTGCAGTAGGCTTATAGGTCATTTAGTAAAAAATAAGAATTAATGAAAGTCTTGACATGGGAAATGAGGAATCTATTCTACCGTTCAGGGCCTGGGGTTGGTTACAGTCCATTCTGGAGGTCAGAGGCAGTAGACTTTTCTCTGAACAACTTCTTGAAGAAAACACCAATTGTAGATTCCGAGTGAGTTGTATTTATTGCCAGGAGAATGCCTATATGAGCCTCAGAATTGTGAACAGCTGAAGAATTTTTGTATCTTGGTAAGTGGGTGATGGCCTAATGTAAACACCTGTCCAATAATGTGCAGAGCTGATTTCTTTTAGGAATAGCTACATACTTGGAGTAAGAAACTTTTTTTTTAGAGTTTTTAAATTGAGCTTTTTAAATTTTATATAACATTTCCCACTCAAATCTAGACCACCTCCCCCATCCATGCCTCCCCCTATCCTCCCATTGAACCCTATGCACTCTGCCATACATGCTGGGTCCTATTCATTCAGGTGTTTGTACCCAAATGTTCTTCAGTGTAAATGTGTCCACTAGAGTCTAATCAGCCCATCCAGTGGTCTTATGTAAGTCATACTCTCCCTCACCCAGCAGCAATCAGCCTCAAATAGTTCTCAATCTAGTGCTGGCCTACTGCCTATTTCTCACCTCCCTTTTGGGCCCTTGTTTAGAAACTCTTTTTTTTTAAGAAACCTCATGCTCAGCCTGGTTGAAAAGATGTAGGCCTATGTTCAGGTAAAGGCACTGGACCTTTCTCCATGGTCTCTTTCTTTGTGTACCCATGTAACTCCTTGATATCTAATGTGTCAGATCATTACTGGTCTTATCACAGTATCAACAGCATGGCTCTATCATGTATCATCCACCACAGGTTATCAGGACACCCACATGACAAAAAAGTTTTAATTTGTTGTACATCAACTAACCTAATCCATGGGGATGTACTGATGGACACAATCCTTTAATCATCAGCCAGTAGCAAGAGTTTTGTTTCATCTTTTAAAAAGTAATTATTTTTTAATTTTATGTGTATGAGTGTATTTATGCCTGCATGTATTTAAGTGTACTTGTGTTGTGCAATGCCATGGAGGTCAGAAGGAGGCGATGGATTTCCCTGGAACTGGAGTTCCAGAAGGTTGTTACTCACCATGTAGGTGCTGGGAATTGGATTTGAGTCCTCTGCAAGAGCAGCCAGTGCTACTTAACTGCTGAGTCATCACTCCAACCCCTCTGTTTCATCTTTCATCATAAAGAATTCGTCTTCTTGGTTCTGTATGCCAAACTTTGTACAGAAAAGGCCATTCTAATATTCGATAAAAGTTATTCCCTGGCAGTCACATTTTTTGAGGTATCCCTCTAGCCCATGCTGGCCTAGAACTCACTATGTAGCCCAAGCTGGTGTCAAGCTTGTGGTATCCTGTTTCAGCCTCCTGAGTACTGGGATTATAGACATGAGCTACCACACCTAGCTCTTGGTAGTCACTTTTTTAAAAAAAGTACATTTTTGATACTGCATCAATGTCATTGTAATTTTATGAATTTACTAATACCATTATTGTATACATCTTCCACTGATAGGCCAAGACAAGCTGGAACAGAACTCTATATCTAATTTGGATAATTTGACAAAAACTGGTTCTTAAATGTTTGTGTGTACCCTTATACAACACATGCATATATATAACCCAGGAGAAAAGGACATAAATGTTTAGATGCCTATTTTAGAAAGTAGTTATTTGCAATTCAGTGACAACTGTGTCATTCAGGAGGTTGGAGACACCAGAATCCGCCTCTTTTGACAGTAGATACAAACCTGGTATTGTGACACAGGCTTGTATTGCCAGTAATTGGAAAGCTGAGGAAGGAATATGGCATTTTCAAGGCCAGTGTCGGCTACACAATGAGTTTAAAGCCAGCTTGGGCTACAATAATGAGACCCTGTCACAAACGAAAAACTGCAAGCAGATAGAAACATGGAGTAATATTTCTTTCTAACTTCCTGGATACTTTCCTTTATAGTTGCCACTATCTGATATTTTCCAGTGCTCCAAATTAGGGTCATTCCCCAGCATAGCACTAGTTTCTTAAGTACATCCAATGTCTTCTAAAGCTATAATCAAGGGAGTGGACCTCCAGAGATTTTGGTTTGTCTTCAGGCCACACTAAATTAACTAGCTGTTTTCAAGAGCTTCATCTCAAATTCCTATCAACCAAGATAGTGTAGACTTTTCCCTGTCTTGATAAATCCTAAGTACACTACAAACTGTGTACTTCAGGATTTGTCACTGTCTGCACATTGGTCTTTAGCAACTTAAAAACAATTATTTATTGTTTGAAAACTTCATACATTTTTGCAGTATAGTTTTATCATAGCCATCTACCACTACCTTCCTCCAACTACCAGTGGTACCCCCTTCCCTTCTCCCTCCCAAATTCCTTTAACAACTTTTATCCTTCCCATATCTCTCGGTCTATATGGGACAAATCTGAGTAAATGTAATATGTGTAGAAAGGGGCTAACTTATTTTCTGTTTCAGCAAAGACCAAGAAGGAAAGAAGGGGAAACTTTTGGCTGGGTAGAAACTAGCACACCACATTTCTCACAGTAAGCATTTTTCTTTGGTACCTAGGAAAAAATTTCCAGTGCTTTTATTAACTGCTAAGGTCACTTCCTATACTCAAATGAGAAATCTCTCAAAGTAGAGTCTTTTCACCGTCTCTTGATTCTGGTTCATTACATGCAACAATCTATTCTTTTTAAAGTTTTCTTACAAATACTTGGCAGTGCAAATAACATTTGTTTTAGTTAAATTTGGCTGTGAAGTAGCAGGAGATAATTAGTTACCATGTCATACCATTAAAAGAGAAACTATTCAACAACAACAGATTTAACAATCTTGTTTTTCTTCATTTTTTAAAGAATATCTACTCATGGAGATGGAGAGATGGCTCAGCGGCTAAAGCTAATCTTGCAGATGACCCAGGTTCAATTCGCAGAGCCACATGGTGGCTAACAACTGTCTGTAACTCCAGTTCCAGGAGATCTGACACTCCCTTGTGAACTCTGTGGGGCCTGTAGGACACTGATGCACCTTCCTACATGCAGGCAGTGTACTCATATACATAAAATTAAAAAAAGAATTTTTAAAAATTGAACTTTTCTTAGAATTTTAGGAAATGCTTTATTAAAGCATTTGGGCTGTATGTTAGTATTCCACAGATCACCAACATTAACAAGAGAAAAGAAAAACAAATAGAAAACCTATTGAATGAACATGCTATGTCATAGAAAGGGAGTGGGAGAAGATTTACTTATATTCCAGAGAGCACAGCCAACAATTTTATGCTGCAGCATGTACAATTTTTAGTATTCCCTTCCCACACAGTTCTGCTGCACACTCTATTATGGCAGATTATTTTATAAGACATTTGTTTTAACTTCCAAGATTTTCTCTTTCCACACTTATCCTTAAAATTGTGTAATTTATTTTTATTAGTGTTAATAAACTTCATGTATTGAAATAGGTCTCAGCAAAGCCATTATTTTATACTCAGGTTAGTATTAAACAAGTAGAATTTGGAAATGCAGATAATTTTGCATGTATTCTCTTTTTTTGCGTGTATGTGTGTACACATGTGCAGGGGAGTGGATGTACACATGTGAAGGCCCAAAGTTGATGTATTGTCCTCCTCCATTGCTTTCCACTTTATTTATGGAGGCAGGATCTCTTACTAAATCCAGAGCTCATTGATTTTTGCTAATCTATCTAGCTAACTTGTTCCAAGTTTCCCCTCTTTTGCCTTTTGAGTTCTGGGGTTACAGGCAACCATCATGCCTGCCTGGCTTTTATCTAGGTTGTGGGAATCTGAATTCTAGTCTTCACACTTGTAGGGCAAGCACTTTATCCACTGAGCATTTCCCTATCCCTAAATTTGTGTGTATTTCTCTCTCTATTCCAGATATTTTTCTCTTTGATTGCTGAACTTCTTCAAAAGTTCAAACAGACACAGTATTAAAAACTTGCCTCAGTTTTGGTATGAGAGGATTAAAAATAAAAGATTGTTCACAGACGACTACATATGATCATATCACTGCATCTCTCACTTGTTATGATATGTATCCAATGTATACAAAATTATAGCTCTTTTTTCACATTGGAGGCTCTGAGTGAAAGACTTTCTCTACTCTAGCAGAGGTTTAGATGAATTATCGTCTCCTGATTGCTTTTACTTGCTTTAAGATATTCTAACAGTGACCTTTTACCATTCTAATAAATTCACATGGTAAAGAATAATCTGAAAGGCATGTTTAAATGGCTGTTCCTGAATAAAATTTTAATGTTTGAGTTTCAATCTTATATTTCTTTTTGCACTTTGTTTAATTGATGCTCTTATGACAAGTTAATTGTCTTAACTGCCTTATCTTCATTTAGAAGTATATAAATGTGTAGGTGAATAAAATGTATTATATTTCTTAAGCTTCCAAAGACTTAGATCATT